TGAATGGCTTTCTATTATTTAGCTGCATCGCTATTTTGTTTTTGTTTTGAGTGTCCAGTTTCTTTAAACTCTCAAACCACACGCGTTGTAGCACCTTATTCTGGAGCTACCAGTCCCCGAACTGGAAGGATGGTTAATTGGACGCTCTGCTCGTGGGTGCTGGTTTGCTGGGAGCCTTCTGGAGCTCGCATGCTTGCATTCATGTCGAGGTCAAAAGGCCTGTCGTCTGGATGCACCGGGTCCTCCATGTCGTCTCATGTGCTGCCCTGTGGTGGACTGGCGTCCTGTCCGGTGTATCTCGTTTTCAGACGAGCTCGGCTGCGACTCCCCCCCGACAGCCGAGGCGCCCCAAGCGAAGGCAAGTTAAAAACCCCGAAACCTTTGCTTTTTTTTTCTGAAGCATGCCGTTAAAAGTGCTCCACGCACCAAACCAGACAGCAGAGGTCACTGTGTACTAAGTTTCTTCGCCAAAAAACACAACGCAAGTACACCACGGAAGTGCTCCGAGTCGTGGGGTTTAAGAAAAGTCGGAACAGCAACACCTACGCAGGGAACACGTTTTTAAACTGTTTAAAAACTGTTTAAACTCATTAATCAATCAAGACTCTAAGTGCCCGCAAAATTTGCATTATTTCTCCTTCAGTTACCTCAAACCCGGGGTTTTGTTAAGCTCGTCAAACTCGAGTTTCGTGTTGAATTTTGTTTTTAAAACTTTCTTATAGATGCCTCCATGTCATGTGGGCTCAGCAGCGGCGGTGCGGTCAGTATTTTACACGTGGGTCTGTCTGTTGCCCTTGTTTTGAATCCTGCTTTGAGAAGTTCCGGTTTAGCGCATCGCGAATGAGTCGCGATACAGACCAAGTCGTTTCCCGGAAGACGAGCCCGCTTCGCTCTGACTGCGGTGTAGCTGATTACACAGGGCGGTCGGGCCATCGCCGGGCTTAAGGACATACAACCCCTTCCTCGGCGTTTGCGAATGTGACGATACACGCCTGGAAGGAGATTTAATTGGCTCAATCAATCAATCAATCAATCAATCAATCAATCAAGGTTTATTTATCGATGCACGAACAGCACAGCATACAGCGGTGTTGTCGGCTGCTGTTGGCTCATTCGACGGGTTCGTTTTTTATCGGAAGTGCTTCTACCATCCCAAATACTGGCCCAGAACAATAACGTCTTCATCTCTAATAATACCCAGTGGTTAAGCACGGTTAAGCTTGTAGGAAGCGTGTCTTAATGTCAGAGGCGTGCTGCAGAGACCTTTTGGTGGCCAGCGGCTCGAAAGGGCAGCAGGAACACTTTCCGGGGCGGGATTGGTAACATTAGAGGATCCTGGACACACATCAGTGCCCGCTTGTATTTCTGTGTTTTTTTTTCAGTTTTACAGGAAGTTTGGATGTGACTTCAGAGGCTTTATAATATTCACAGCCTTGGCAAAAAATGGTTGTCCATAATTGCTGCTTATGTTTGATTAACAGACAAGATATTACATCCCATATTACACAGTTCACGTGATAGCACATCAAATCAAATATTTTTTTCCCCAAAGTGTGTCTTTTGGACATATTTTGGGGGCGGCTCTAGATTTTCTTCTGTTCTGTTTTATATGAGACATCATTTACTTGTCTTATAAAGCATTATATCTCTATTAATATTATTATGTACTGGATAATGAACTTGAAATTGTTCAGTATACACTACTAAAAGTTTAAACATTATTTTATACATCAATATCAGTTTTTATAATTACATATTAAGCTCTAAATTAAATTCCAATACATATATTTATTGGCCGTGTCTTAAAAAAAAAACTTGTCAGAAATATCCAAAAATGATAATGGAATTACTACTCGTATAGCCTATTTTTTGTAAATAGGCTACAGGCAGTTTTGATAATTCATCAAAACTGAAGTCGTACAACATGTACCAATGTCATCATTCTTGTGAGGCAAGACTCTTCTGTTATTGAGGCGTGGGTAGAATGTAGCCTAAGGAACTGGCTTTTTTGATGCCCATTTACCTACTCGTCCGCCGCTAGTTGTGACCCAGTTGTGAAGCGATGTGCTCCTTTCAGCTGCCTCCCTAAATTCATTCCTTTTCTTTTTTCTGAAGGCATGCTCTCCTGTTTCTGTGACTGAACCATATATATACACAACACAGAACATGCATGTTAGCTGTTTATATCAAATACAAAAAGACTGCCTGGTCTACTCAGTGAACTACATTTTCTTAAGGAAATCTCCAATCTAGCTTAGCAGCCACGCAGACAATAACGTGGCAAGTTAGTCGGTTTGCAAACTTAGAACAGGTGAATGAAAATAGTCTTTCTTAAACACACAGTGCTCAATACGACGACCCCGGTGTGTTACTTTTGTACAGTCCTTCTGAAAAATCTGAGTCTCTTCTCACCGTTCAAAAACGTTTAACACGACCTCCAGAAGTGTAGTAGCCTCCCTTGCTTCTTGCGGCTTTCTCCTCCACTTGTTACAACGGACAGGAGGCGGGCACTGGTGCTCGGATGAGATCAATTAGGTCCGACTTTTTTTTCCCTAATGGGAGATCCGTACTTAATACAGAAGCAGAATCGTCAAGTGGCAAAAAAAAAATGGGGCAGGGGCTGGAGACCTGTAGCCACCCGGCTCTGCAGGTCCCTGATCCGATGACACACCACCGGCGGGCAGCCCAGCATGGCCATGCTCAGCGCTGTACAGAAGAGCCCCCAGGCCAGTGTTGCACAGCTGACCTCATCACGAATAACCTTAAGAGTGTAGATTCCTTTGCCATCAACATGAAAAAAAGTGAAGAAAGGCGAACAGCTCGCATGCAAAGAGTTTACGATGATGAAAAACCAAAGACTTGCTCTCCATGAGACACACAGACAGGGAGAGAAGCTTGGGGTCAGAGAGCAGGGTCAGCCATTTATACGGCGCCCCTGGAGCAGCTTGGGTGAAGGGCCTTGCTCAGGGGCCCAACGGAGTAGGATTCCTCTGCAGGCTGCGGGATTTGAACAGGCAGAGGCAGGCTGGTTCTCGCCACTGCCGAGTTTAATGGCAGCAATGCAGACTCGGAACAATTGATTTTATACTCTGATTAAGCGCTGAAATCAGTAAAAAACAGTGGGTCAGAACTCGGAGACTTATCCATGTCATCTGCATAAAGCGATGTATAATGTTCAGTGTTGTTAAGGACAGCAGGGGTAGGAGAAGTAGGTGGATGAACAGTTTGAGCTAGAGGATCCAGAGGAGGCAACCAACAAAGGTGGCAGAATTTTTTATTCCTTACTTTTGTTTGCTTTATATTATAATCCCACTTCATCACCCACACACTGGGTTAAATGCACAAGAACGGCAGACGGAGAGCCAGGCAGAGAACGTGCAGGTATATTTCCGTTCACCACTGATGAGGACCTAAAGCAGTAAGCTCTGACCTTTGAAATACCAGCTTCAATCATCAAATCAATATGCAGAAAAAAAAACAGGGGATCCACAGAATAATAGGCTGCTACAAACTTCTGTGAAAATACCGATTACAATTATTAAATAAGAGTAAAGGCAAAAATCCTGCAACCTCCCTATCATGATCAGTACCATGCTTAGAATGCACAAGGATTCTCTCTATATAAAACGTGGGGAATCACTCAGCGATTCAAAAACAGTACGCAGTACACAGCACCAGCCACAAGACTGCTGCAAACCAGGCGTGTCTGGAGCTCAGCTGCCTTTCATCTTGCTGCTGTTGAGAGTGCACACCCATCTGTGGTTTCCAGCACCGGCTGCTGCCTTCCTGTCACTCTGCTCTTCTAGTGCAGGCGGAGACATCACATCCGCAGCGCTGCCCTGGTGCTGGTCCCCAATGGCAATGGCAATGGCAATGGCAATGGCGTGCCCGTCAGTGGCTCTCCTCCACCAGGGATGGCCGACTGCTCGGTGAAAGAGCCTGCTGGGCGAGTCGCAGCTGCTCCTCGTGAGAAATCAGGGCCGTTTTCTCCGAGTAAAGGCGACACGGCGGACAGGCGACAGGCAGTGCTTGAGGGGAATTCTCCCGAGCCCGCGGACTGGACGATGACAGATGACTGAAGAGATCCGCTGGAGAGCTGAGGAGAGGCTGCAGTGAAGTGGCTTGTGTGAACAGAGGCAAGGGAAGAGCCACAGAGATAAGAGGACCATGCAATCTGTTAGATCTGGGATCCCGCAGGGGGTCTGACAGACACGAACAGAAAAATTGCAATTGGTGCGCTGGTAGTGTGGGTTCTTAGATACCAAGGAGCGTTTTTATTTCCCCACACATCTCCAAAATCCAATCGGACATGAATATCGGGCTTCTCTTTACCCTTGATGGAATATGAAAATAATACAAAAAAGCAAGGTAAAAAAAAATCAACAAAACGTACACCAAGACCAATTCCTAGTGATACACATTCCCTTCTTCTGTATTGCACCGTGAACCATGCAAATCATGATAAACAACAGAATAGTAATTTCAAACTAGAGGTTTTTTCTTTGGTTCATCTTCGGGAATAGCAGCTTGTCATTGAAGAAGGGCTTTTCCCCCCCACATTTCATGAATTTCTTTCCTGCTGACAGATTTGTCCAGAACTCGACATTAGAAGTTTATCAGCAGTGTCACAATCAAGAGGCCTCAAGAGGTAGCAGGTGTGAAGTATCGTATCATCCGATTAAGGCAATGTAAAAAAAACATTATGCTAATGCATAATTAAAAGCTGGATGAGCTTCTAACAGGAAACTGCCTGTAAAACTGCACTAAGAAGAGACTGAAACAAGTACAAGTTTACAAAGGGCAGACAACATTAAGATCAGTTTAAGAAATTCCAAATCCCCAAGTGACTGAAGCATAGAAAAATCTTGTTACTTGGCTCCAGAATACTTACCCAATGAAAGAAGATATTTTCACAGCTGTTACCTCTCCCCCACATGATTCTGCTGAATCGAGAGGGTCGAAGGTATTGTGTGCAAATGCATATTAGTAACCCACTGTATTAAAACAACCAATTTCCCAGGTAAGACCTCAAAGAAACATATGTGCCACCAAAATTATGTTATTAGTCCAGGTTGGCTTCGTAAACATGCATCGATATTTCCCAACAGTTAAAAGAGAAGACGTCTGCTCTCCTGCAAGTGGCTCAGCTTCTTTCTCCTGTTTAATAAGAAGCAACTCTCTCAAGACAGTACATAAAGATATGTTTATTAATACATATCCATCAGTGCGGCCTTCAATGCCATTGAAACATGCAACTCAACCGAGACAAAATTTGTATTTCCAGTGCTTCTTTTAATGAACACAACTGCAAAGCCATTATAAATTACTGAGGAGGTATTCGTTCTTTAACAGATTTAACTACGCCATTCAGGTCCTACTTGAGCCCATTAATGAGGGTTAGAGGTTACCATCATTGCAAGTCTTTGAGCAATATGTAGAATGAAAGATGGAAGGAAGATCTGAATTCAGCTGCAGCTTCATACCACAGCAGAGGTAGATCTGTTCCCTGTGGTGGAAAACGCACTCCGAAGAGGCAGTTTATTGGTGGACTGTATAGAATTCATGGAGATATGTCACACGCCTGTGAAGGAAAACTGGAGGATCAAATAAAAATTCTGATAAAATCAAAAAATGAAAGATCTTTTAAAAAGATTTTTTTTAGATTTCTACATAAAACAATATGGCAATAAAACTGTTATCCAAAGTTAAGGCACTAAATAGGCCAAATGCTACTCCTGTTAAGTGTTCTAAGAATAATTTACATTTCAAACAGTGCAGTTTCTTACATTTTTTTGTTAACTTAATGTTTTCTTTATCAACAACTTAATGAGGAATCATGGTAAGGCAATACATTACAAAATAAAATAATTATAATAAAAATATTACAGAAACATTGTACCCCAAAACAACTCAATATGCCAATGGTTTTCTGTGCTGTTAGTCTTCTAATGCCATTAGAATGATGTACTGATATGGCTTGGCAAATAAGAATGCATAGATTAAAAACAACCTGTCCACTCACCCATTCTTCCATTTCTCTTACCTCAGTTTCCCCCCCACAAATGGAAAAAAAAAGACTAAATCATTTTACAGAACAAGAAGCTGCTTGTCTTGCAAAATTAACGGGACATGAACATTAAGGCCGCAAAGGATTACAGTGAAGGCATCGAAACCAAGGTGAAGTCTACCCTAGCGCAGCTCCCCGCCGAGTCCTGCAGTCTCAGTGGAAAAAAATCCTGGACTCTCCCAAATCCACTCAGCTCCTGCAAGAACAGCTTCCCGTCTGCAGGTCACTTTTTTTTCCACCTGCCCTACATGGAATCTTTTTGCAACAATTTGAATCCCTCCCCCATCCCTAAAAAGTTCATCAAAAGTTCCTGATATGAATGAAGAATTGGTACCAGCAGCCTCTGGCCGTGTCCCCCGTTAAAAAACGAATAAAACAAGTAATTTTGTCCTCTTCCTTTTTTTCCCCCCGGCTTCCATTTTTGTTAAAAAAGTCTCCCAGTGAAACCGCGTGCCTGAAGGCATCACGTAGTCTCCCAGTGAAACCGCGTGCCTGAAGGCATCACGTGATCAGCAGCTGCCGGCTGTCCACGCGGGCAGGCTCCAGCGCAGGCTGCAGGGGAACGCACAAGCTCATCGGCGGCAGCGGGGAGGGAGCAGTGTCCTGTGTCACTGTAACGAGTCTGGCCTTCCAGCACAGGTCTTTGTGGTGGCAGAAGCTCAGATTCTTGTGAAAAAATAAAATAAAAAAAACTATGCTTAAAAATCAAGTCCCCGTGGCAGCCCCCGGTGCACGTGGTTAGCTGGAAAAGGAAACAGAGGACACGTGTGAAGGACACATCTCGTCTCTCGTTCGGTTAGACCACACAGGTACTGGGATAGAAGAAGACAAGAAAGGCTTGGTTAGGGTGGACTGTGCTCTTTATCTATGCCTCTTTACCACTGCATGGATGAACCATTTACTTTGGTCTGGATTTTTGTTTTATGAAGGGGTGAGACACAGAAAAGGCCCTGCCCCGCACTGCCTGGCCTGACCACTCGGCGTTTCTGATGAGAAAGGCATTTGCAATTTCAAAAACAGATCTTCTGAGAAAAGACTGTACCCCACAGAATGAACGGAAGGGCAGAGAATGACCTGAAAGGTCTCGTATAACAGGACCTTGCATATTAATTACTACCTGGTGGTCAGGATGCCCGTGGGTTTTAATATGCCCATTTTTATCATAAACTATTATGTAACAAGGTTAAACCCGACACAGCACACCCTGTGGTGTTGCCACAGGGTAACATATTCCTCATGAAGACAGAATTACTTGTCATTCTTCATGATTATTATTTCCTACTGAGAAAGCTAGGATAGGGAGTTATCACTATTCCAGAATTATGAAAGGAAGTTAGTCTGCCAGAGACTAGTTACCCTGCACTCTCAACCCTCTGAAAATGCAAATGAAAAACACCCTCTCAATCATCCTCTCAGATTTAGACAGAGACCAGTCATTTACATTTTCTAGATAATGTGGAGAACTGATTAAGGCAAACAAAGTCCTTGGGTTATAGTTGAAAGTGTAAAATTTAAATCAAGCGATGTTGTGTTAAATGTCTCTAACACAGTAGTAAGACCTGATTTACAATAACTCTGCACAAATTTGGCCACCAAATTATAGAAAAGATATTGCTGCACTGGAATCAGTCCATATAAGAGCAACCAGAGACAGTCCAGGACGTAAGTGAATGTCCTGTACTGAAAGGGTGAAAGAGCCAGACTGGTCGGTCTCGAACAGAGAAGACTATGAGTGGAACTGACCCAAGTATTCAAAACCCTCAAAGACTCTGACAAAGTCAACTCGGTGGGCTTCTTCAGAGTGACCAGCGGAGGAGAGACCAGAGGGAACAAGTGGGAAGTACAGGGACGTGCATTTAAAACTAGGAACAAGAGGCACTCTTTACACAAAGGGTTGTGGGAGTTAGGAACAGGCTACCCTGCCATATTGTCAATCTGTTACTCTGGCCTCTTGCAAGAAACAGTCGGATAAGATCCTTGACTACCGCAAAGGTCACACGGTCTCCTCTCACGTAACCCTTCTCGTGCTCTTCTGTTCCAACTGCTACACCTGCCACTCTGGAACCACTCATCGTATTCTACCTGGGCAACAGACAGATGTTCTGTAGGGAAAAATACTGCTAGGTCTACTCTAGGCTACTTCACAAAACAAGCAGGTACTGTTGGCTTAACAGACACCATCGTGTATGTAAATCCTGCTCCAGTTAAGAACAGGAAACAAACAAAGCTCTGAATTGAGCGTGTCATTAGACACATACTTAGTGATAAATCACTTAAAAGCTCAATACCACATGGACCGGGATTGTGATAACTTTACCTTTTCTGAGAAGGTACTGCTGAACAAACAGGAGACTTTTAAAATACTATTGTTGGGGGAATACTGACACACAACACACCCTGAATATCCCAAGGAGAGCAAATGTTTCCACAACTGAAAAACATTTCCTGTTGTTTCAGTTCAGAACAAAGCACATGCAGTGTACAAATAAAAGATCCCGTCGCAGGGGAACGCGCGGTGTCGACGCGGAGCGCTGTGGGACTCCGGGGCTCCTTACCTGGGCTTGCCCGTCACACTTTTGGGATTCCTGCGGAAGGACTGGTTGGCCACGGAGCGCGTGGACATGGTGCGCGGAGAGGCCCTGGTGAAGGAGGAGGGCGGGGTCTTGGGGATCTTCTTCCCCAGGTGGCCGATCCACTTCTTCTGCTCCTCCTGGGACAGCGCCAGCAGCAGCATGTCCCTGGCCGTGGTCACGTCGTAGTTCACTGTCGAGACAGAGCAGCAGCTGAGCGGACGCCGGGCACGGGACGATGCTCCCAAACCGCCGGGAGCAAACCGCCTGGCGTACCCTCTATTGGGCCCTCTACAGCGCTACAGCGTTTTCCAGCTTTCCACATCCTTCTTTCTGAATCCGATATAAAGCAGCATTATTTTTCTCAACGGCAAACATTCCCGAACGAGAAAAGAAGGGAAATCAACACCGAGAGCGGTGGCATCTATCACACGGATGAGTTCAACCACAGCTGTTAGCCGCCTGTACTTGGCCGCTCTGGGCCAGCGCTGGCGACTCTCCCTCCAGCGCTGCTCGTGCTCCTGCGACGCCCGGGGGCGGCGGGCTGTACCTTTGCAGGGCGCGATGACGTCCTCCTTCCTGTCCAGGTGGTCCTTGTGGCACTTGACGTGGCAGCGGCGGCACTCCAGGGCTGGCGGGGGCTTGAAGACGTGCCACAGGGGCTTGGCGCAGGCCTCGCAGTTGGTGGGGAAGTGGTAGAGCGTGGGGATGAACTCGTGCCCCTTGTGAGGCAAGCAGTTGGTCTTCTCGCCCTGGTGTACCGATTCCGTGTCTGCGTCCTTCCTGCACTCCCCCTCGTTGGCGTAGAGGATCTGGGGAGGACCAAACCCCACGTTCAGAGGTGCAGAAACGAAGACAAGAGCGCGTTCAGAGGAGTAACGCATCACTCCGCAGAGCGGACAGCCACCAAGCCTGGAGCACTTACACTTATCTCGGTCTTTTTCACAAAATCACTTAAAATGGCTTTATAACATTTCTTTCTGGTTTTGTCCTCAAAGGTTTCTGTACTTAAGAGTTAACTTTCCACTAATGCTCTTCACAGCTTAAGCTTTTAAAGTCACTTGATAATAGAGATTTTTTCAGCTTTACATTTTGATATTGACCACAGTCCATACGTAGTCCAAAAAATGTTTAAAAGTCACATTTTCACTTTAGTCTTACCGATAATGATTAAGCCCAGTCTGTTTGATAAATTGAACATATCGTTTTTAAAGGAATGGCCTGTTAAAGCCAGAGTACCTTGTGTAAAATAGTTATAAAACTTTTTTATAGCTATATCCCCCATTTCCTTCCTATACAGAGCCAAAAAAAAGTTTGTGAACCCCTTAGGATTTTCACATATTTGACATATTGTATTTGAAACCCAAAATAATAATATATCTCTACCCAAGTCCTAATAACAGATGACACGGATGACATAAAACAAGGTACTCTTTCAACATTTATCTCAAACGATACCTGGAAAATCCTGGGGATTTCGTCGGTTTCGGCTCTGTACACATCGCCTTGCGTGACCGGACGTACATGGAAGAGTTTGCTGCACGAAGGAAATACATTTTGTTAAAAAAGGGGCCTCAAGATCTGGATGCTATGAATTTTACACCCATTTTCATCTGACATTTTCATAGTGTCCGAACTATGAAAAATGCACACTGCTCTCCCCTTGTCCTGTCTAATAAATATGAAGTGGAGCTTCAGACATACAGGACATTCATATCAAAACCTAATACACTAGAAAAGGCAACTTCCATTTGCTTTAAGGTAACATGCTTTTAAGTAATGATTATCACATCCTTAACACATGTGGTGTACTGTTACATGTTTTGTTCAGTTTTATGATATGCGTTTAATAATTTACACTTAACTGTTATAGTACAAGGTAAAGAGCATAATGGTCACTGACACTACAGCTGTAAAATATCCTTCCCTGTAAGACTTGGCAGCTACAAAGTAATAGGCTTCTCTGTTAATGTGATACACAGGTGCCACTCAGAAACAGTACTGTTCTTGTCCCAGCCAATTTTTCACTTGAGCTTAGCCTGGAGGGTACCAAACAGGTATCAGATCTGTAGCTATTGGTATCAAATCAGAGCATTTAATAATACAAAACAAAACTTAGAAACGTACAGCTAGCTCCTTGTTCAAAACATGAATCAAAACAGCTATCTTAAGTTCCAGATGTATGCCTGATCAACTGCAAACTCTAAAACAGAGTCACCTGAAGTCAACCAGTGTTTATTTCTTTCAATCCAATGTAATAATTCAGTTTTCCTGGAGAGTTCTTCATGGTTAAGCTGAGACGGTGGCGAGGTCTTTTCAAAGGTGCATGTACTGCATGATAGAGCGCAGACTCAACAATACTCACTCAATATCTAGTACCATGGAGGGGTTCGACTGTTCCTTGTCCTGTTCATCATTGTAAAACAGGATCTTCTTGCTGCTGACCACCACATACTGAGGACAAAAAACAGAAAGCAGTACTTTTTTACACCGAACGGTAACAAGTGTAAGGATAGAGGGACTGATTCTGATGCATAATGTGAGTCACACATCTGAGAACCTCTAGTTCAGTTCCAGGCCAAGCTGAGTTGCCAAAACTGGCCACTGGTGTTCCCACAGCGTACTAGTGAAGAAACTGGTTCACTGAAAAATTCTGTGAGAGGCAAGATTCTCGTCCATGAGTGAATAATCATGGTGCATTATTAATGACCATCATCACCTCTCCTTTCCCCTCCCCTGCAGGCCAGAGGGGTATCCGAGTATTTATAGATCTCCAGCTTCTGGTTCAATGGAGACCCTTAATGAAATGAAGCCTGGGTGTGCACTGCTCTGGAGATGATGCAACACTGCCCACAGGTTAAGTAAGCACATTGTGCTGAGGTTGATTCACATGCCACAGCAAGCTGTACTAGACAGGCAGCTTGAACTGGCTGCAAATATCAAAATATTCTTCCCAGAGACAAGTTGATTGGACAAATCTGGAAGAACGGACCCCCTGCCACTCGAGAACGGGCCTACCTGCCCCTCAAACCTCCTCTGCCTCGCATGTGAGTTGCAACAGCGTATTTAAAAGAGAAAGGGTCCGTCCAAATTCTGGCGGGGAGAGAACAATACTGAAAAGGAAACGAAAAATAAGAAATATACCTGCTTTTTCCAGCCGTATCGTTTTATGTTGGCTCTGTTGGGTATCGACAGCCAGCCTTCAAGCCTGGACTCTGAGAAAGACAGACAGGAAGGAAATGGTTGGTCTGGAAGAATCATGAAAAAGCACTGGGTTGGGAACTCATGCAGGGTTTAGAAGCAACTAAAAGAAAAGGAAAACAATAGCCAGAAAGCAGCTCAAAGAACAGAATCGTGTCACATAAAATATTCACAAGGCATGCTTTGGCACAAAGCAATTAATTCAAAACAAGCATTATCTACTGCTTCTTATTTCAGCGAGTTCTCCGTATAGACAGCTGAGGTCTGTTTGGGCAACGTTTTCATGTTTAACCTCCTCGCTGTTCGTGCCAAAATAATACGAAAATTATCCTCCCAAGTGTCAGGAAGAGGCTTCTGGGGCCTTTCAGAGCAGGGCACATCAACCCTGTGCCGTTTTCAGCACTGTGGAAGTGTGCCCACTGTGAGGAGCCACAGACTTCACTTTCTCTACTTGTCGCAGAAGTCTTTTTTTTTTAAATAGAGGTCTCCATTATTCCATCTGGACTTATTTAATTTTGCTTCTGAAGTCTGTCTCGATTCTCTTCTGAGTTCACGCATTTCGTGAGCTCAGTAAATTTATAAAGAATGTCCTTCACTCAGAAAAGGCCCGTCAGAAGCGCTGCTTAGAGGGGAGGACGCGTGTCAGACTGCAAACCACAGCCAAGGAAAAGAGACAAACACACATACACAGGGCAGGCACAGACGAAGCCAGAACTCCAATTTACTCACAGAGGAAAAAGAATAGAAGATACAAAGATAAGGAGAGCAGGGAGAACCAACTAGACATGGGGAATAAGAAATGAGAAAGGAGTTTAACAGACTGATACAAAGTACTCAATGCCCACTGAAAAAGGAATAAAACCCAGAGTAACCACAATTAGTTTGTAGATTGGCTTTTCTATTGATATTTTGATGCGTGAAATGGCACAGCAGGAAGAGTGGTAGCTGAGCCTCTCCCCCAGTTCAGGGCTAATTTACACCAAGTGGCAGGTACGTAATCTACAATACAAATGACACCGGTAAAGTGCATCGGAACGCTCTGAACATGACCTATCATAGGTCTGCTGCTCCACCTTGACCCTTTCAGTGACGGGTCTTGAGTCTAAACTACTGAGAAGCTGAGACCTGATCGGTTTTGGAACAGGAAACAAACGAAATGGAAAAAAAAACAGAAACAAAAAAATGGTGGATTTGTTGGCATGGATGAAATGTGGTAAATTTACTTGAGCTCAGCTCTTCAGAAACCCGGCTTTGTTCCCCTGCAATGATAATTCCGGCTTGCAACACTGCTGAAAGTGCCCCTTGTTTCCTCCACACACAGCCCGTTTAACAGGGCTGCCTTTCATCTTACAGCACCAACAAACGGCTAGACAGACGCACTGCCTCCAAAGAGCTGCCCTTTCCTGGTTCCTTCCCCTTTCGCGCACAGAACCCGTCAGAGCTTTCCGGACCTCAGAGGAGAGCGGCCTACCTGCTATGTTGCCGTCTGCCTCGTCCGTCTGCAGGCTGGCCACGCTGGAGTTGTCCATGCGCAGCTGCAAGTCGTTGAGCTTCTCCCTCAGCTGCTCAATGTCGCTCTCCTTGCTGTCCAGCTGCATCTGCAGCTCGTTGCGGTATGTGGACTCCTCAGCCAGTTGCTTGTGGGGGGAAAAGAACGATCAGTGTCTCCGGGGATGTCTGCATGAACAGCTATGTGTAGCAAATGCGTTCTTTTCATACGCCATTTGACATGACTAGTGTTCCATGTTTTCAGTATTCTACTACAATATACCTCGTTATAAAAGCCTAATTTAGCTCAACATATGTATTGCCCTCTGAGCACAGAATGTTTTTTTAATCATGTATCATTATTTAAACTATAGTTGCGATCACTGTACATTACACACACACACACCTGCATTCTGCTGGAAAGCATATCTTTGGCATGTTTCAGTCAACACGTCAGCAACATTTGTAGCAAACTGCAGCACTGAAAAGTGAGCTAAAAGGGCTCAGGGATTAGTTTGCTTAAGGGAC